GGCGTGATCTTGGGTCACCGCAACCTCCGCCTCCTGGGTTCAGGCAATTCTCCTGCCTCAGCCTCCTGAGTAGCTGGGATTACAGGCATGCACCACCATGCCTGGCTAATTTTCTATTTTTAGTAGAGACGAGGTTTCTCCATGTTGGTCAGACTGGTCTGAAACTCCTGACCTCAGGTGATCTGGCCCGCCTCGGCCTCCCAAAGTGCTGGGATTACAGGTGTGAGCTACCCGGCCTGGCAATTTCTTTTAGACAAAATAAATCAAAAGAAAAATTTTGAACAAAAAAAAAAACACTAGAGACCAGTAACAGCAAAACGGTAAAACCAGAAATCATGAGTAATTGACAAATGATTGTCCCATAGATGAATGCAGATTCCCACAGGTGGAGGAAGCTTCCGAGTTGATCAGGAGTGTTTCCCAGTTGGAAGTGGAGAAAGGCCTGACAGACTTGAAGTGGGTGTAGGGGACACTGGGTTCTCTTGAGAACTGGCCGAGGGGCCTTTGAGCATCTAGTTCAAAATCCTGATTTTACAGAAGCAGAGAGAAGCTTCAGAGAGGTTCAAGAACTTGCCAGAGCTCACACAGGCAGGCCAACACAGGCCTGCAGCCATCATCGAGGTGTTCTCTGGTGGCTGTTTAAGGAGACAGGCCTCGCTGGCTTGGGGAACTGGGGAAGTCGGTCACGATGCCGTGATGCAATTGGCCTCCACCCCCACCATTCATTCACTGTTTCCTGCTGCCGAGAAGTCAGCCCCGGAGGCGGGGGCAGGGAGTAGTGGAGGGAGGAGGGGAAAGGTCAGGGTGGGGCCAGGCCTCTGCTTTGAGTCCTTTGGCCTCCCGTGGGGGCCCCTAGGGAAGGCAAGGGTCACAGCTCCCTTGGTGCCCTAGGTGCTGACATGGCGTGGGGCTCAGTGCACAGGGTGGGCTGGTGTCCCCCTCCCTTGTATCTTATGCCTCCACCACGCCCTGGTTTCTGGGTGTGAAAGCTCCTTTTTTTTTTTCTTGAGAGGGAGTCTTGCTCTGCTACCCAGGCTGGAGTGTGTGGTGATCTTGGCTCACTGCAACCTACATCTCCCAGGTTCAAGCAATTCTCCTGCCTCAGCCTCCCAAGTAGCTGGGATTACAGATGCCCATCACCACACCCAGCTAATGTGTGTATTTTTAGTAGAGACAGGGTTTCAACATGTTGGCCAGGCTGGTCTCGAACTCCTGACCTCAGGTGATCCACCTGCCTCGGCCTCCCAAAGTGCTGGGATTACAGGTGTGAGTCACTGTGCCCAGCCAAAGATCCCTCTTTCAAGGTAAAGAGCACTCAAGTCTTGTTCCCCTAACTCCTGTGCCTGGAGGAGAGATCGGTGTTGCTAAAATTAGGAGACAGTCAAAGAAGGACTCCCATGGCCTCCTGGGAAAGGAAGAAAGTGGCTTTGAGATCCCCGCCAGCTTTGTGCGATCTTGTTCTCTGTGCTACCTCTTGCCCATGCTGCTGGCGAGGTGCTCCTGGATGGCACTCCAACCCCTGCCCCCAGGCTACTGGCAGAAGACAGCAGACGGGGGACTGTAGCTACCCAGGAAGAGGGCTGAGGGGCTGTACACACTGAGAAACTGCCAGTCTCCAGCCAAGGGCAGGCCAGCTGTGTGTGGCCTGAGGCTACAGACACAGGAAACTGAAATCCCTGGTTTCTGTCCTCAGGGAGTCCAGATATAACGGGGCTCCTGACCCTGTCTGGGCAGTGTGGCTGGTGGATGTTGCGAGCTTGGGCCTGCAGACCCTGGAGCTGGGGAGTTACCTTCTCAACTTGCACTCTGCTGTGGGTGCATTTTCGGGCCTTGACCACTGAGCCCCAAAACTTAACTTCTGGGCCTCAGTTTCCTCATTTGTCACAAAGGGATAATTGAAGCCACTAAGTCTCATTGTTAAAAGATAAGGGGAAAGGCTCCAAGGCCTGGTGGCTGTCACCCTTAGTGTGGTGTGAACCCATCCACACACCAAGGTGGTTTAACTTTTCCAGGGTTGGCAGAGGAGGGAGAGCCTCCCCGCTGGCCACTCTCCCTTGCTCAGCAGCCTGGGAATATCTGAGGGCGGCTGGTGGGGCAGCCAGCTGGTCTCCTTGCCCAGGGAAGGCGCAGCGCAGTGGTGTCCTGGGCTGCTCCCTTGCCCTCTCACTTGAATCTGACACCTTAGCTCCTGGGCAAAATTAACCATTTACTCCTTGGGGTGTTCTTTCCAGGACTTGTGAAGCCGTGTTGGTTTTGATAAGGTCTTGGTTTTTGTCTTTGGGTTTTGTTTGTATTGGCTCAGGGGGAGAGGGTGCTTTTGTCCTATGGAAGCTGCTTATTCGAAAATGAAGCTGAAAAATGGGAGTAAAGGAGGGGCTGACCTGGGTGAGCCCCATCCAGTGGCTCGGGGACCCGGAGGCAGTCTCCCCACACCTGTGTTCTCTCCCGCAGATGTGCACTCCCAGCAACACCCCTGCCACACCGCCCAACTTCCCCGACGCGCTGGCCATGTTCTCCAAGCTCCGCGCCTCCGAGGGCCTGCAGAGCAACAGCCCCATGTCGGCGGTAGCCTGCTCCCCGCCTGCAAGCTTCAGTCCCTTCTGGGCCTCATCCCCGCCCAGCCACCAGGCGCCCTGGATCCCGCCCTCCTCCCCCACCACCTTCCACCACCTCCACTGCCCACAGCCCACGTGGCCCCCAGGAGCACAGCAGGGGGGCGCCCAGCAAAAAGCCATGGCGGCCATGGATGGCCAGAGATGAGACTGGATGCCGCTGGGCACTGGGCTGGAGCTGGGGGCAGCCCAGGGTTGTGGGGACACAGGAGGGTCGGGGAGGGGGGAGCCGGGGAGGGCAGGGGGTTTCCCGAAGATCGCACTGGAAGATTTTATAAAAGAATTTTTGTGGGTGGGGGGGATAGTAAACTTCCTGGGCCATTTGGGTCCTTCAGGAGTTTTTCAGGCAAGTTTTTCTCTCTTTTTAATATATAACTATAATATATATAAATATATAAATATAACTAATGTCTGTGAGAATGGGCCTGGCACAGCTGGGGTGCTCAGGGCTGTGGCTGCCTCCTCCACCCGAATCTTGAGGGTAGGAGCGCGCCGCAGAGCCAGTGAACGATGTTGGGGCACAAGGCATCTGTCAGCTGCCTCCTCCCACAGCCGTGCCTTCCAGAACTTCGAAGAGGACCCCACCACCTCAGTCACCCAGCAGCTGCTGCAGGTGGAGTCCTGGGAGGGCCTGAGGCCAAAGGTGTGGAAGGCCCTCTTGGCATTGGGGCTCCCCCCCGACCTCTTCCCCACCTCTGATTGCTGGTCGTGGCCCCATAGCTTCTGTCACCCCCGTCTCCTGCTGAATGTGCAGGGCTGATGTGGCACTGAGGAGCTGACTAAGGTCAGGCTCTGCCCAGTAGGGGCCTTGGCTGCCCCAGGCACGCTGCCCCTCCCACTGTGAGTCTCAGGTCCCAGTGGAGGGCCTGCCTTTGGGTTTAGTTCCCGAATTGAAATCCCATCTCACCAGGGTGAAATTTTAATTTAAAAACTTAAAAAGAGACTTTTCTAACTTTCCTGGTTTGTGGTGCTTTTATTTCTATTGGTGGGTGAATTGGTCTCCTTGGAAGAGGAGTGGTGGGGGGTCCCTTGCCATTGGGCTGGTCTGGGTGTTTCTTGCTATGTGGTCACAGCAGGGGCTCTTGCAGTGCAGGCAGGGTCCAGCTTGGTGTGGGGAGGAAAGGAGGGGCCAGAGTCTGTCCTGAGTTGCTGTGACCTTCCTTTCTGGCCCCATCGGTGTAGTCACTACCTGCAGAGCCCTAGTGAGGAGCACTGGAAGCCATTTCCATCTGCTGTGGGGAGAGCTGCCCCTTCTAGCTGGGGGTGTCCTGATGTCCCCTAGGCCCTCCCAGCAGGCATCTTCTAGCTGGGCTCATCTCTGATATTCCTACCCTTGCTTCCCAGGGTGGTGTGTCCCTGTGGGCTGTGGAATGGCTATGACCCAAAGGTCAATTAAGGCTGTCAGGGAGCCATAGACAGGGCAGGTCCCCAGAGGGGCCTGCTTCCACCCGCCTCCCCATAGCCCTGCAGGGTCAGCATGTGTGAGGCTGCCGGTTCTGACCCAGCAGCCCAGCCTGGGGTGGTCCTGTGGTGCTGGAGGTCAGCTCCATGGGGAGCCTGCCCACCTGGTTGATGGGGGTGACAGCCACATGGCTGGGGTGCCTCCTCCTGCCCTGCCCTTCACCGCCACACTTGGTCCTGGCAGCCCTTTCTTGTCCCATCCTCCTGCCTTGTCCTCTGCTGCGGTCTAAGGGGCCCAGGCCCTGCTGGAACACAGGCGGGACGGGTTCTCGAGGTTCAGGCCAGAAGTGAAGTGAGAAACGAGAGGGACTGGGCCCGGCACACCCCCTCCCCACCCCCATATCCTGCCTCCAGGACTCCTGGGGCCCCCTCCCACGGCGGGGCAGCCCCTCCTCTGGTGGAGTGGAACGGTGGCCCCTCCACCTCAGCATTGGACACAGACATGCCGTGCTTGGAGACTGGGTTCGTCCTTTCAGTTTTGTTTCCTGGTTGGAAACCCCTGAGACTCCTCCCCTTCCCCTGCCCACCTGTGCTTTCCCAGGCTGGAAGGGGTAGCCCCTCTAGGCAGGTGGGAGGTTACGCTGTGACATCCCCAGGCTGCCTGGGCCTGGGATGGGGTCCACCCAGGTGTGGGCCTTGCCCAGGTGCGGGAATGGTGGGGGTTGGCCTGGCCGGCTTAGGGAATGTTGCTCTGGGCCCTTCTGTGGGTGTGGGCAAGGCCTGGGTGGTGAGGAGGACTGGGCTGTGCCTCCCTGCCAAGATGGTGAATTTGGCTTTAGACCCAGGAAACTGAGCCGACCTTCTGACATTTCACAGCCAGGGTGGGGCCGAGAGCGGCAGGCGCCCAGCTGGAGTGGGGGAGGGGTGGCCTTGCTCTGCCTCCTGCCTGGGAGGAGAGGGGCTGGGGCAGGGGGGTGCCCACTCGGAACTCCGCTGTCTGAGCAGCTCCTTCTGTGCAGTCCTGAGCACGACCTCATGACATGAAGATTTGCTGGGTCTCCGCAGAGCAAGCCAGAGGGAGCACCCACCCAGCCAAGCCCGCCCCACTTTACCCATACCAGGGTCAGGGGCCAGAAACCTGTTTCTGGGCTGTTTCTCGCCACACTTTCCTTTCCTGTGTGATCTGTCTCCTCACACCCCAAAGCGAGCTTCTTGCCCCAGAAATCCCTTTCCCATGCTGGGGTGATGGGAACTGGGGGTGGGGGGAGCCCCATTCTCAACTCCAAGCACTTCCTTTTCTCTGAGGGGGGAGCCTCTGGGCAGGCAGGCCTTGGTGATTTCAGGGCTTTATAAACCTCAGCGTGGGGGACCACTTTAATCTAATGGGGGACCCCTAGAATATGGCTGAAGCCCAAGCTCGGGAGGTCAAGAGACCCTGGGTCCCTGGAGCTTCAAGTGGGTTGCAGCCATGAAGGAGGCTCGTCCCTGACAGTTGCTGCACTGGCCCGAGCTCAGTCCCACCTGCACGCCTCTGACCCCTCACCTGCGGTCCCTTGCCTGCAGGTGTCGGGGGCTACAGCGGAGGGAAGCAAATCGCGCCGAGCAGGGGGCTCACACCACCCTCCACGCGCCTGATGTTTTTGCTCTGTATCTTCCTGGGGAGGAGGGGTGGGGACACTGGGCCACAGCCATGGCAGCCCGTGGTCTGAGCCTTCAGGCCCTGCCTGTCTCTGCCGCAGCCCACTCAAGGGACAGCAGTGGAGGGCAGCAAACAAACTGTCCCAGTGTGCTGCAGGGGTTCGCCTCCGGCCATTGGCACTGCTTCCCTGGAATCCCATGCCAGGTGTCAGGAACCACCTTGAGCCAGCAGCAAGAGCAAGCAGGCAGCTGCCACCCTCACCCGCAGAGTGCTGGACACTGACTGCACAGCCCCAGCCCCCCAGTGGAGAAGGCAGGTCTAGAGCCAGAAGGCACAGCACCCTGGGTCTAGCCAAGGTCAGGAGAGAGCTGGTGGGGTGAGAGCAAGCCCAGCCGGTCCCAGGGCCCCGAGTCTCCCTGTCCCCAGCGCAATGTCCAGCCTTCCCGAAGCCCCAGCGCCCTCAGAGAACAGAGGCTGAGGACTTACTCTCAGGCTACAAACCAGACCTGCTGTCCAAGAGAAGGTCTGCTGAGCAGGCGGGCCTGGGAGTGTCTGGAGGCACGTGGGGGGCTGCCTGGCCATCAGTGGGCACTTCCCTCTCCCTCCGTCTTCCTGTCAGAGAAGATTCGCCACGCCAAAGCTTCCTCCTGAACGTTTATTTACACCTCTGCTCACTGAGCATTGGTGGATCGCGGCCCCCGGGTGGGCTCCTCGAGCCCCTCCCCAGGAAGCACGTCCACGTGCCTCTCTGGTCCCCCGTTTGCCACCTCAGTGGGGCTGAGCAGGTTCGTTGTGTTCGGCAGGGGGAGGCGCCCATCAGAGGAAGGTCTGTCTTTCTGTTGATGCAAAAAAACTGCAAGACAGAGGGGCTGAGGTTACTCACTACATTCCCCACACCCACTGGGGGCCACCCCAGCCTGCCCAAAGCCCAGGGAAGTTAGGAGCAGTTCTGTTTGCCGGCTGGGCTGAAACAGGCTGGAGGGGAGCTGCCAGGGCTGGGGTGCACGGCACAGGCACTTCTGAGCTCCTAACTAGTCATGAAGCACCCTTCATGATCTTTGTGAATGAAAAGTAAGTGGCTGGGCACGGTGGTCAGGCATGTAATCCCAGCACTGTGGGAGGCTAAGGCAGGCAGATCATGAGGTTAGGAGATCAAGACCAGCCTGGCCAATATGGTGAAAACCCCGTCTCTACTAAAAATACAAAAATTAGCCTGGTGTGATGGTGGCACGTGCCTGTAGTCCCAGCTACTCTGGGGGCTGAGGCAGAAGAATCGCTTGAACCCGGGAGGTGGAGGTTGCAGTGAGTCGAGATTGCACCACTGCACTCCAGCCCGGGTGACAGAACAAGATGACTTCTCAAAAAATAAAAAAAAAGAAAAAGGAAAAGCAAACATATCTCAAACACGAAAAAGCAGTAAACAAGTTTTCTGTGAACACAGACACTAGGTGATATGCCAAAAGGTGCAGGAATTTTTCGTGACTACCAGTCCCTCTCCTGCTTCCAGAGCGTTTCAGCGCCCTTAGACAGTGCAACGCCTGGCAGAAGGGAGCCAAGTACCCCCAAGAAAACAGTTCTGGGAGTCAGGGTGACAGTCCTGTGCTCGCTCTCCTCCACTGAGACCTGTTGTTCCCAGCTCGGCCTTTGGGCCAGAGGACTTGGCTTTGAACTCCAGCTCTGCCGCTTCCTGGCTGTGTGACCTAGAGCAAGGAGCTTCACCTCTCTGTGCCTCAGTTTTCTCAGCCGTAAGTGGTGCTAACAATGGTCTCTACCTCAGTGCTGCTGCGTGGCTTAAAACTGGTTCATCCGTGTAAAGCTCCTAAATTAACTCCCTGGCCTGTGGGGGCCCTGGATGACGGCGAGAAGCCATCACCACCGCAGCCACTACTCTGTTGTGATTTCCTCCTCCCTCAGCCACAGGCTCTCAGTGAGTGCTGGAGTGATGTTGGAGCATCTAGCCTAGGAGCAGGGGAGGGTGGAGGCTCTGGGGTTCCCTGGACCTCCCACGGGCACCCACAAGGTATGTGTGTACATTGCAGGAAGGTCTGCAGCTTTTATTAGATTCTCTGGGGGACCCTAACTCCAAGAAGCACTAACCCAACACCCCCTCGATGCCAGATGAGGACACAGGTCTGGAGAGGAGAGAGACTTGCTCAGGGTCACCTGGCAGTGATCCAGCCTTCTGGCTGCAGGGCCCCTGTGGCTGAACCCTAAGGGTCCTTAGCTCCCTGACCTTCAGGCCCAACTTAGCTCGTGGGGAGGTCAGGGACCTAAGGGACCCTCTAGGCCAGAGGCCAGGCAGAGGTTCCTCCATATCAGGGTCTGGGGGCTCTTGGGCACCCGGGCATGGCCTGTGCCCAGCAGCTGCCATGCAGAGCCCAGGCACATGAGCGCCATGACAGTGCACGTGAGCAGGACAAGGGCATGGGCCTGGCACCAGAGATTGCGTGGCAACCCTGTCCCTATTTCATCTTCTGTGGAATGGGGCAGTAACAGCACCTACCCACCTCCCAGAAGGGGCACGAATCACTCAGTCTCTAGGGGTTTCTGTTTTCCCCACCCGTCCCCTCCTTTGGCTCCCAGGCCCTCCCCTCTCCAGGGATATAAAGGTGTGACCCTGCCTGGGCAGGAAAGGGGGTCGGCAGGGCCAGCAGGGAGGCCTGGCAGGACGCCTCACCCAGAGGGAAGCTACCTGGGGTGTTGCCAGCCGACATCTGGGCGCTCTGAGGCCGAGAGGGCAGCTGGCCACTGGTGCTGAGGGATGGCTGCCTGTGCCCATTCGGCCGGGGCTGCCTGGACTTGCGCTTTGAGGTCCCTGAGCCTGATGGGGACAGGACGGAAGGCTCAGTGCTGAGGCAGCCGTGAGAACCCCTGGGGGTGGGGAGGGGGCCGCGGGGCTGCTGGTCACGGCTGGCCTTGGCTGAGTGGGGTCCTCATCTGTCTGAATTTTGGATCTGTCCCAGAGAAGCAGTCTTCATTCATTCTCATGTCCACCCACCCAGCCACGCGCACAGAGTCCCTGAGGACCTGCACACGTCAGCCCTGTGGCAGATATGGGGTGAGTTCTGACCTGGGGTTTCCAGGGCAAGAGGGCAGACATCTAGAAAGGTGCATACACAGCTAAATGAATGACGGGAAGTGACAAACAGCAGACTTCGGGCTGTGTCATGTTACGGAAGGTGGGCATTCGGGGGCTGAGGCAGTGGGGGCTCAGCAGAGGGCACTGTTCTGAGTTTTTGGGGATTTTTTGTTTTGTTTTGTTTTGAGATGGAGTCTCGCTCTGTCACCCAGGCTGGAGTACAGTGGCGCTATCTCTGCTCACTGCAACCTCCACCTCCTGGGTTCTAGCGATTCTGCTGTCTCAGCCTCCCAAGTAGCTTGGACTACAGGCATGTGCCACCACACCCAGTTAATTTTTGTATTTTTAGTAGAGATGAGGTTTCATCGTGTTAACCAAGATAGTCTCGATCTCCTGACCTTGTGATCCGCCCGCCGTGGTCCCCCAAAGTGCTGGGATTACAGGCGTGAGCCACCGCGCCTGGCTCTGTGTTGAGTTTTGAAGGAGAAGGAGGCCCTGATGATGCCAAGGACAGAGGCCCAGCAGTACAGCTGGGGTGGAGGCTGGCAGGAAAACACGGGCCACTCCATCCCAGCTGATGGCTGAGGCTGGACAGCTGTCCTCTACCTATGAACATTCACTTGGTGGCTTTTCGAGACCTGAACATTTGGAGTCAGGGGAGTGGAGACAGAAGACACCCAGGGTCCAGTGACCCATAAAAGTGCCAGCCCCCAAATGGACGCACGCCCTGTGGGACCCACGTGAGGCACCTGGTAGCCTCTGGGCTCCACTCACTGTCTTTGCTGAGGATGCCTGGCAGCCTTGTGTCCATCCGTCCCTTGTAAATGTGGCCATCCAGGCCCAAGATGTCCACCTCATCATGCTGTAGAGGCAGACAGATGTCATCACCATCGGAGCACACACAGCCCCCCACCCCCGGTCCCTGCCTCCACAAAGGCCTGAGGCGCAGAGCACTGTGGTCTGGGAACCCTCCTGGGGGGCTCTGGGAGGCACTAGGGTGGATAGAGAAGGTGGAGGGAGGTAAATGGTAGCCGGCCGAAGTGGGAGACCTGGGAGGCCAAATGCTGCTGAGCAGGCAGGTGGCTGGGATAAATCCTTCTTCCTGGAAAATAAGAACCTGAGGCTTTAACTGGATGGTCTGATTAAGGAATTGCCTCAAGGCAGAGGGCTGGCTGAGATGGCCTCTTGTGGCTTTGGAGAATGACTCAGGAATCTGGAGCTGTGTCAGGGCCTCCCTCCCTGGTGGCTTCAGGCAGGGTCCTGACCTTCATGGCAATCTGGATCTCTTCGGTGGGGTACAGACCCCGGGGCAGGTGCTGCAAGCGGCTGCGGTGGTAGGGGTAGGTGAGGGTGTGGCTGCCCCCGCAGCGCCGGGGCACAGTTGAGTAGGTATGATTGGACATATCTGTCACCCTGTGATGAAGACAGGATGGAGTCATTGGGAGCAGACCGCCAGGGACATGGCCTGGGACTTGCCCATGATGGGGCCGGCCAGAGGGAAGCTCCACTTCAGGGGTGGCCAGGAGGCAGAGCAGTGGGAGCCCAGGACAGGCGGGCAGGGCCCAGGACAGGTGGATTGGGGTAGAGCAGCCGTGAGGCTAGGTGTGACCATGCACACAGGCGGGCGTGCGCGCACACACCCTTACACTCACACACGTACACACGTACCTATACACACATATACACACGTTTTTGGGGGGGGCGGGGAGACATAGTCTTGTTCTGTCACCAGGCTGGAGTGCAGTGTCTTGATCTCAGCTCACGGCAACCTCCGCCTCCCGGGTTTAAGAAATTCTCCTGACTCAGCCTCCCCAGTAGCTGCAACTCCAGGCGCATGCTGCCACGAGCGGCTAATTTTTTGTATTTTAGTAGAGACGGGGTTTCACCGTGTTGCCCAGACTGGTCTCGAACTCCTGAGCTCAGGCAATCTGCCCTCCTCGGCTTCCCAAAGTGCTAGGATTACAGGCATGAGCCACTGCGCCCGGGGTACACACACTCTTATACATACACGCACTCACGTGCACACTCACACTCATATACATGCATACACATACACTTACTCATATAATCACCTATACAGACACACACACATGCACACACAATACACATACGCAGGTATGTACACACACGTACTCATGCACTCACATGTACTCATACATGCACACACACACACTCCTACACCCACACACACTCGTGCTCGTACCCACACTCACGTACTCACATGCACTCATACACACCCCTACACACGCTCATACACCGATGCATACGCACCCACCCATAGACACATGGCTTACACACACACTGACAGCCCTCGCCCACACCTTCACACACACACACACAGACACACACCCACGCTCCTTTTTCTCCCTCAGGCCCTCCCCCAGCAATGGGTCGAGGCGTTTGTCTGCACAGCCAGCTCCCCGTGGCCTCGCCCGCCCCTCCCGTACCGTTTGTAGCATGGGGAGGTGAGGCACTGGGCCTGCAGCAGCTCGCGGATGACCTGGCTGCTGGCCTTGGTGGAGCCTCCGAAGTGGATCTGCACCTTCTCGATGTTCATCAGCATCTTGGAGTGCATGGAGCGCAGGCGCCTCACGCTCTGCTCCATCTGCGCCAGGTCACCCCGAGGGAAGGCAGTGCCCAGCTTGAGGCTGCAGGGTGTGAGCAGAACAGAGGGAGTACTGGCCCACGAGGGAGCCTTGACCTTGTGTCAGCCGCATCCTTTTGTTCTGGGTCCCTTTTGTGCAAGACCCAGCTAGCCCCGTGGGCGCTTGGTCGAGGGCTGGGGTCGCTGAGCAGCTTGACCCCTCCGTCAGATCAGCCCTTTCCACAGCACCTGAGGGCCAGACTTGCCAGACTTTCCCCAGATGGGAAAGTGCAGGCCAGCCAAATGGAAGACAGCCCGGCTCCCTCTGCAGCTGCGGGTGGAGAAGCCGAGGGCAGCCCGGGGCCTTCCCATCACAGCACACCTGGCCCTGCACACCAGAACCCTTAGGGCTTCCAAGAGCAGTCTGAAGTCCTCTGTACTGCGGACTCCCATCCTTAGGAGAAGGGGAGCAGCAAGAGGCAGGCAGGAGCCGGAGGGAGCGTGAGATGCCCCCCACCAGCCTCCCTCCTTGGCCGAGCCCACCCTCCGGCTGAGCGATGCTGGACCCTCCCCTCACCGCTGTAATCCCAGGGTTGCCAAGTTAGCAGAAGCGTGGGGAAGAGGTCGAGAAATAGAGAAGTAGAGGAGCTCTCAGAAGCAGATAGTGCCCTTGACAAAGTCCCACTGTAGCTCCCAAGGCACGTGTCACTAGGTCGGCCTCCTCTACTCATGCCCGGGGAACTGCCAGGGAGCTAGTTCAGAAATCAGCCTGTGGCTGCCACCGTCCTGTCCCAAGGAGGAAGCTCGCCACACTATCCCACAGCACTGCCTTCTGTCAGGTTCCACCAGGCCCTCGGGAGTCATCTCTGTCCCCTGCCTTCCCTGTTCAGAGCCCTGGCCCTGGACCCTGCTGTCCCGTACTTGCGGCTATGCTGCCGGACCTGCTCCAGTTCAAATACCGTGTAGGGGCGGATGGAACAGTGCCCGGGTAGGCCCGGACCTGCGGGGGTCACGGGAATGGCTCTGGGTAGGGACAGAGAAAAAAGGGATGGGTCAGAGTGGGACAAGTCCCATCCCCCAAATCCACCTGCCTAAAGAACCTTCCCACCTGCCCCGCGCCTGGGAGGGAGCGAGGGCTGGAAGCCGACCCACGAGAGAAAGGGAGAGGACAGGGTGGACACAGGTGGAGAAGGGAGGAGACGCAGCCCCACCGTGCGAGGCCACGTGCTGGCGATGTGGGCACTCACTGTCCGGTCACGGTTGTCTCCAAGGGCCGGTCACATGAGAGGCAGTGGAAATGTGCCAGAAGCTGCCTGTTAGGAATAAGACAGGATGAGTGCTCTGCCCGGAAGTCCCAGGGGGGCCTGGGCCTCTGCAGGCCATGCAGGCTGGAAGCTCAGCCCACCGGGGTGCACACCACGTCCCTGCTCCCCAGGAATCCATCTGCTCGCACCTGGGGCTCGCCTCCCATACCTCCCCGTCCTAACCCAAAGCCGGCAGGGTTCCCACGGGCTCTGGAGGGTGCCCTGTGCACGTCTCGGGGGCCCCCTGGCGGCCACAAATGGGAATCCTGGAATTCAAGCCCAGTATGGGCCAGGTCCTATGGGCTGGCCCTCAGGAGCTGTCTCAGCTCTGGGTACTGAGGACCTCTCCCTGTTCCAAAGGCCCAGCTTAGCTCAGCCAAACCCAGAGAGCCTTAAGCCTCCCCCAGTCCCTTTCTCTGCTGTAACGCGAAGAGGCCTGAGCTGGAAGAGCATGTCAAGCTCTAAAATTCTGTCCCTCCAACCATGGGACAGTCCCCGGCAGGATCCACTGTGTGCTGGCAGGTGTTTGTCTGGGGACCCCTAACCCCCTCTGCCCTCACCCCCCACAGAGCATGCCAGCCTCCTCCCCTGCCTCCCAGGCCTCACCTCCGCATGGCGGCCGCCTCGTCTGCCTGGTAGAGCGGAGGGCGCTCTCTGAGCTGCTGTCGCAGCGATTTCCACCGATCCTCCAGCAGCTGCTTCAGTGGGTCCAGCTCCAGGCGGTCCAGCTGCGGTGGGGGAAGGGGGGCCGTGGGACCTCTAAGGAAGCAGGTTGGGGGCTGGCCCAGGAGAAGGTGGTGCTGTCCCGATCCTGGAGGCAGGGCTGTGGGATGGAAGGCCCTGCTGTGCCCCGCCTCACCTTGGTGTCCATCTCTGTGAGCAGCTTGTCCAGAATCTTCTGCCAGTCCTGCTCCTGCCCACTCATCTTGGCCACCAGCTCCTGCATCATGTGGTTCAGCTGCTCTGTGGTGGCATCAAACTGGATACGGCTCACTTTGGTGGCCAGAGCACTCTTGTCAGCTTTCTGCCCGGAGAGAGACAGAGGTCCCTGCATCTGGGAGAAGGCCATGGAGGGGCCCCGTTCCCTGGGAGTGTCGACCCCTGTCACCAGGCAGGTTTCTGGGAGGCCACCCTCCTCTTGCTACCTCCCCTCCACTTGGCCTTTCAAAGAAATGGCCAGCGAGACTGCGCTGTGACAGACACAGCGTGGCTCCCAGGGCCTGGTACCCACCACATCGATCTCCATCTCCAGGTGCTCCCTGTTGGCCTTTTCCTTTTCCAGCTTCTCCAGACCCTGGTACAGCATCTGGGGAGGCCAAGTGAACAGAGAAACAGGAGCCAGAGCTGCAGGGCTGGGGGCGCCACACTGAGCCCAGGCCCATCCCGGCCACCCCGCGGCTACTCACAGCAATGTCCTTCTGCTTCTGCCGGTGGTCCTCGATGAGGTTGCTGGTGGTGACGTTGAGCTTCTCGCAGTCGCCCTGCACCTGCAGGATGGCACTCTGCACGCGGCCCAGCAGCTCCTCGTCCTGGGGCAGGAGGGTCAGGAAGGCTCTCTGAGGCTGCTGGCGCGATCCCACCCCCTGCTGCCATAGTACTGCTGCCCCCAGATAAAGTGGCCCTTATAACATCTCCAGGGCTGGGAGCGGTGGCTGGTGCCTGTAATCCTGGCACTTTGGGAGGCTGAGGCAAGAGGATCACTTGGGCCCAGGAGTTCCAGAACAGCCTGAGCAACATAGGGAGACCCTGTCTCAAAACAACAACAATGGAAAGGCTCTCTGCCTGCCCTTTGTGGGTGTCCATTCCGACAGGACACAAGCGTCAGTCACCCACATTCCCATGGACCAGCCTCGGGACGCTGGCCTTCGGTGAGGGGTCAGAGAGGTGATGGAGGCTCCAGAGTGATGTTCCATGGTGCTTGAGAGCTGGGCTGTGGGCTTTATCCCCTCCTCTCCTGGCCCAAATCTGATTTCCTCAGCCCAAGAGATAGGACCCAGGACTTGTGGCTGCGCCCGCCCCCACCAGCAAGCCTGCCCTTTCGAGGGAAATCGAGAGGGGGTCAGAAGACTAGCGTGCCAGGGAGACAGCATCTCCTACAGTTGGGCCTGTGTCTCCAGGGCATGTGACTCAGCGGGCCTGTGCTGTCCCGCCCCATCAAGCCAGCTCTTCCCCATGGTCTCCTGTCCTCAAAGCTAGTTCTGCTGCTACCCTCGCTGTGGACCTGCAGAAAGACCAAGGACTTCTGTGGGATCTGGCTAAAGGGCTCCACCATGGATAGCTGACCTTGAGGACAAATGCCCGCCCCACCTCCGTGGTTTGCAGCAGGGAGGACCTCCCCTGTGGGGCCATGACCAGTGGCAGGAGGAGGAAGGTGCGCAGAGCCCCACCTGTCTCTGGAGCTTGGCCTTCTTGGAGGGCCGGGAGACCACCAGTCTGTTGACCATGTCCTGGAGCTGCTCATAGCGCTGCACCAGTGTGCTGACCTGATGGCTCACATCCAGGCTGCAAGCTGGACAGGTGGCCTGAGGGTCGATCTGGCCAGGATCCAAGGTGTAGGCCTTGTGCGGGGCCATGCTCATGGACAGTAGTGTGGAGGAGGAGGCCAACATGCTCTCGATGATTGTCCTGAGCTTGTCCAACTGCGTGCAGGAGAGACGGCGGCGGCAGGGCAGTGAGGCTGGTCACAGCCATGCTCTGCCCACGCCGGCACCGCTCCTAGGCTGTGTGCCTCCCCCTGTCACGCTCTGGGCAGTCGCTGCATCCTCAGTGCCTCCCAGAGCATGTGCCATCGTGGGCGCTCTATCCGGTAAATGGTGAGTAGGGAGAGCTCTCTGGGAGCACAGCGTCAGTGCTGAACTAAGCCCTTGCAGAAGGCAGGCCTCTAGAGCTTCCTCCGGCCCCCACCCCCGCAGCTCAGTGTGAGAACATGTCTTCTTCAGCTAAATCCTAAAGTGCTGCTGCCAGTTAGCCGGGCCATAAACACACAGAGGACCCTGAGGACACATGGGCCCCGCCCTGGGCTCTGGGGCTGTGAGGGATGGGCTTGCACACGCGCCTGCTCAGATGCTGGGGGAACAGACAGGCTCCATCCACCTAGCACGGAAATCACTAATGATGCAGGAAGAGGGCGCATGCCGACACCACTCCAGGGGTGTCTCCTATGCCAGGCAGTGGAAACCCCTTCCAGGGTGAGAGCCTTGAAGGTGGCCCCCGTGTTCTCCGCATCCCTTGGTCACCACAAATGAGGCTCCTAGGTCGACAGCTGATCCAAGGGCAGCCGGTCCCTCAACCAGCCAAAGACCTGTGACATGTCACCTGGCTCAAAAAGAGAGGCTGGGCCAACCCGGGCTCCTCTCTTGGGAGTGGGTGATGGAGCAGAAAGGACTCCGCAGGGCTGGAGCAGCCGCTGTGGACCACAAAGGAGAACAAGGTGATGGAGAGTGGGATGGAGAGACACAGGGGGGTGAGGGAGGGGTAAGGAGAGGGACATAGCCACCCACAAAAGCAGATGCAGCAGGACCGGCGGGGTGGCCTGCCCCAGCCTCCGCCATGGCCTGGAGGTTCCCTTTTGCTCTGCTCCCTACGGCTGCACATCCCCAGCGCATGCCCTGTTGCCTGGGCTCAAAGACACACTGCCGCTTACAACCAGAAAAGCCTGTGCGGAGGCAGGCATCTCCGAGAGCCCCGGAAAAAAGAGGAAGAGGAAGAGGCCTCCCAGAAAAATAGGCATTTCAGTGGAGTCTTAAGACTAAGCCGCAGCTGTCTGTGCAAAGAACGGCAGGAGAGAATAGGAGTACGTTCAGAGAAAGACGGCACGCCACGGTAGCTACTGATGGGGCGTGTGGAAGCGGGGCCTCCGAAAAAACGCTGCAAAAGGAGGCTAGGTCAGCCCAACAGGAAACGGATTCCCTTTATGTTTCTTCTTGAGACGGAGTCTCGCTTTGCCGCCAGGCTGGAGTACAGTGGTGCGATCTTGGCTCACTGCAACCTCCGCCTCCCAGGTTCAAGTGATTCGCCTGTCTCAGCCTCCTGAGTAGCTGGGACTTTAGGTGCACGCCACCACACCCAGCTAATTTTTGTATTTTTAGTAGAGATGGGGTTTCACTATGTTGGCCAGTATGGTCTCAATCTCTTGACCTTGTGATCCACCTGCCTCGGTATCCCAGAGTGCTGGGATTACTGGCGTGAATCACTGCGCCTGGCCCCCAGGAAGTGGACTCTCTCCTGAGTGTGGTCCTGGGACAGCCAGACATGAGCTTGGACTGACAGGTGACTCTTAAACACTCTCAGCTGCTCCTCAGGCAGGACACTTGGACTGGAGTCATGAAATGGTGCACACCACAGTTTCAGCAACTTGGGAGGGAGCCCAGAATGTGGCTGAAAGCACAAGGGGGTCAGGTGGGGGGGCTCACGCCTGTAATCCCAGCACTTTAGGAGGCTGAGGTGGGCGGGTCACCTGAGGTCAGGAGTTCGAGACCAGCCTGGCCAACATGGAGAAACTCCATCTCTACTAAAAATATGAAAATTAGCCAGGTTTGGTGGCAGGCACCTGTAACCCCAGCTACTCAGAAGGCTGAGGCTGGAGAATCACTTGAACCTGAGAGGCACAGGTTGCAGTGAGCCGAGATCATGGCATTGCACTTCAGCCTGGGTAACAAGAGTGAAACTCCATCTCGGAAAAGGAAAACAGAAAAACAAAAAAACTTTTACATGAATGTTCATTACTCATTATAGCCAGAGGATAGAAACAAACCAAACGTCTTTCAGCTGATGCCTAGAAACACAAATTGTGGGAACATTAATAAGCCATAAAAAGGAATGGAGTATTGACACGTGACAGCGTGGATGAGCCTGGAAAACATCGCGCCAAATGAAAGAAGCCAGCTACAATCGTCATACGTTGTATGACTCCACTTATATGAGATGTCCAGAATAGACTAATCCACAGTGGCAGAAAGCAGATTCGTGGTTGCCAGGGGCTGAGGGATAGAAGGGAATGGGGAGAGATTGCTAAGAGTTACAGGGTTTCAGGCCGGGCGCGGTGGCTCAAGCCTGTAATCCCAGCACTTTGGGAGGCCAAGGCGGGTGGATCACGAGGTCAAGAGATCGAGACCATCCTGGTCAACATGGTGAAACCCGTCTCTAC